TGGCTGTATTGTGTAAAGAAACCCACATACAATGCACATGAACCTTTTCTTTGTAGTTCCATTCTCATGGTTTTGTTCATTTTGGCCATGAACACGTCCTGGTTCTGCGAGAGTTTCTAAAGAACTGAGCCTTAATAGTTCTCCTTTGAAGCAGCCCCACTTCTCTCTTACATAGGTGACTTTTTAAGTCTAGAGTAAATAATATTACTCACTTAAGTATCATTAAAGCAACCATTTTCTATCTTTTTCCGTCATGTCACTGTTTTGATGACAGGAATGAGTTGAGGTTACCCCCACAGTGACCATATCAAGTCTTATGATTAGGTTGTCCCTTTGAACCTAGATCTTGGGATCTCCAGTCAACTAGGTTGAGTTTTCCTTCTTAAGACTTTTATACTTTATAGGTTACCTCATTCCTTTTGTCATTTTCTCAACTTTCGTCTGTTTAACACACAAGTTAGCGAATCCGCGGTATTATCTTTTGACTTCATGTAGTCAAGATATCTATAGTTGAGAACGATTGTATAATGATACTATATCTGTGTCAAAGTAATGTCTTGAATTACCATTATACAATTGACTACGTGTCATTCCAGATCTATGATTAATAGATCAGTGGCACAATTATCCCATTCAAAACTAGCGATACCATTTAGCCTTTGTCTCACAACTATCGATATACACAATTCAGATTCTATTGTGAATCTGGCTATCACAATCTAGTTTGAGGATTTGCAGAACACGTATGTTCAGGCTAGCATAACCATAGCCACTAGTGTTGTTTGAATCATTGCTACAATCTATCCAACTTGTATCTGTGTACTCTTCCAGCACGGTTGGATATCAAGTATGATGTAATTCAATACTACGAGTATATCGTAAGTACTTTAGTACTCTAACATTGACTCTCCATATTAACTGCCCAACCCAATGCTTGATTACTCGTATTTGCACTTCACTAGCTTACTTCATCAGCATTTATTGTAGTAGAACTCATTAGAAGCACTATTCTCTCGATCATCTTTGAGTATTCTTCCAAAGCAGTATCCCCACATAACTAGGATAACCGAAGAATATCATCTAATGTGGTTCTAGCAACTCTACAATTATTTTTGCTCAAACTCCACAAGAATTTTGTCTATAATGAGCTTCACTCAAAATAAGACCATTGCATCCATGTGATTTTAACCAGTAAAATCACACCGGTAAGTTCCACACGCTAAACACAGACTTAACATGTTAATAGACTTACTATCGACAATTTAGTATGTCTTTCAAATAGGCATCAAATGCCTTATTCTTTCTATGTCCCATTGACGTATACATATTTTGACATACTCTTTAACTCTTATTGATGATCTTTGGACTTGTTCCAAGACCATAAAAGAGTTTACCGATCTTATTATTGGTATTTAGAGCTTGAAACTCTCGGGTTGCTCCGTATCTAATTTTCCATTGAAGAAAACATCATTTGATCTTGATCTCAACATGAGAGAATACATATCAAGTAATCTAAACAAACTCATTGTTTATTTACTTTGATTCCTTATGTGACATTAACTTATTTTTAAGTATGATTCTTAAAAATAGAATCGACACTCTTTATGGTTTCTCCATAAAGATACATCACAAGAACTAATAAGTTCGTAAATCATTCCCAACAAATTTGATTCAAATCATTCCTAAATGATTTTCATTTAGTTCCTAGCCACATCTTGGTTCTTGAACTTGAACCATTTCCTTTCCAAAAGAATTACATATTCTTTTCATCACACTATAGTGTTCTTTTGTAATTTTGACAAGTTCAAAATATACAAAAAGAACCCCTACATGGTACCGTCATGTACTCATGGCCTAAGGATTTTATCCACCAATTAGGATTCATCTTTATTTCCTTTAATGCAAGTATCTCCACCAGATACTTTGACACTCACAAGTGTTTGATTGCATTGCTCATATAAGACCCCCACACTCGCAAGTGTTTATAGCGTGGTCACAATTTCTTTCATAATACCTTAATAAGGTAATCACTTGACAAGAAACTATCCCCCACATTCGGGTGATATTGAACTAAAAATATCGTTTTCACAATTTTCTTCAAAAAATTAATGTGTATTTTCCACGTTCATATTTCTATTGGATAGATGTAACTATGGTAGAAACTTCATAGATAATTCTATGTTGTGTAAAGAAGTCACCTATTGGTGCCTCACTCACCACTAGTACCACTTCTCCAATATCCATTACTTTTATTGAGTTTATTCTCAACCTTAGTCTCGTAGAGAACAAATTCTCTTTATAGACTGTATTCTATTGAGAACAAACCTCTATTCGTATCTAGAAGATAGAACTCATTGGGACACATCATGTTAATCCCATTCCACGCATGGAATTTCCATTCTCACAAAAGTGGAGTCGAACAAAGAGTCATAGTTCTCACCACAAAATTGAGAATCATTGCTCTTACTAAATTTTTTCATATATACAAATGAAGAATTTCAGAAAACTCAAAAATCATGCACCCCATATAGCACACAAATATTTCATGCTTTACCATTTTAAGATTACTTGCCACGCGGGCATCTAAAAATTCATTTGCGACAAGACATATATAACAATTGCATATAAGAGTGTCTTATAAAGCAAGTCCATGCACCAAGAATCAAGTTATTTAATATTTAGTAGTCTAAACATCATGGACATTGAGGTTTGAGACTGGACACTTCTTTTGTCATTTATGCCCAAACAATGAATACAACAATTCATTTTTCAATTTAAATCTATCATTAGATTTAGTGGAAAAATATAACTTCCATTCCATAAAGTCATGCACATAATCCTTGTTATTGTTCCAGTTCTTGTTATTAACAAGGAAAAAATCAGGGACAAATTGTAACTCCCATTTTAGGTGATGACAACAAAATAATTCATTAATGGCACATATTTAAGTCTCACTGGTTATCACCCATAATTTCCAAACATTTAAAATATTTGGCCATAAAACAAAACACATTCAATGTATTTTTCATTTAAAAATATGTCCTTTCAGTGCATCGTGCAAATGGCAATCGAAATGCTAGTTTTACAGATCTAGCCATGCATACTATCTTGGAAGCACATTATTTATGTTCAATACATTATTTATGTTAGGAGAAATATCCTTAAGCCAATATTAACCCCCAATTTGTTTTTCCTTTTATCTTCTAGGAAGCCAAATGAATTTATTAACAAACTAATGAATTCATTTCGTGCCTCTCATATGCATTTAAATGCCATAAAAAATATACATGCATTTTTCATGGATAATGACTCATGTTAATGCACAATTTCAAAATGTGGCCCAAACAAAGATATTCCAAAGAAGTATAATACTTTAACCTCTCATTATTTATCATGCTTATATTTTTAGATGCTTATCATGAGATTTTGATCATTTTTATACATCTTATATAGTCATAATCAGAAGACACAAATTTATGCTTCTTGTACCATGATTAATATAGCCATTAGTATCATAGAGCTATTCATTTTCCATGAATGTATTGATGCAAATCAATGTCATGATTTTTCCATAAAAGCATACAATAACATTCAATAATTAATCGTATTACATGCATTTGGATAATCATACTTCGAGGGTTTCAGATTAGAATGGCACTTTATTCCCATTTAATCAATGCTGAGTAGATATAATCCATATAAAAGATCATCAATTCACTTAGAGAATGTGTTCAACTTTTAAAATCGTTTTTCATGTTAAAAATCAACCAATTAACATGAATAGCATATATCATATACCCATATTCATATATCTTAAGGATATCGAAATATATCTTAGTTGAGGAACTAAAAATCCTTGTTTCTTTACTTTTAATCAGTAGACTAACATATGAGTAGATCTTTTTGCCCAATTGTGTTATCTGTCACGTATGCACAATTTGATCTTCTCTCAATTCCCTCGATGACCATAAACTTCGAATTCTATTCAGTTTCGTCAATTTCCTCGTCGACCGACAACAAAACCAACTTCTTTCATTGCCCTTCTGTTTGCCTTCGTCGACCACTTTGCCAACCGACTGTGAAGTCGACATGATCTAGATGACAAGAAAAGAAACTTCCTTTTGACTATGCTTCCAGCCATTCTGACTTTGATCACAAATACAACACATCAAAAAATATGTTTTAAGATTGTTGGAAGAATTGAATGTGGTATTTGTGATGAACAATGATATCTTTAAGAAATAAGAAAATCCGAGGCTCGTGAAGACACGATTTCCTTAAAACATATTTGCCCCCTCCTAAGGTGCTAGAGGATCGTGGGCAATTGTTTCCCAGGATACAAGGGAGAAACGTGAAAACTACTTAGCACTAAGTAGCTCCACCAGCGAACTGGAACTTAAAAAATATTTGATGAACACCAAGGAAGAGGAAAGAAAAGGCTAAAGCAAAACTTATAAAAAATTAGGTTCCATAGAATTAAACAAATTGAGCCACTATTTATATCATTAAGAGACCTTTTGAATTCAGCCAAAAAATCCAATAGTTTTCTCATGTTAATTAACTTTAATTGTAGCTGAATGATTGTAAGTTAAATGTTTAAACATTTGTAACCACTCAACCATTTATTCTAGTCATTTAAATGAATTAATTCTACAAATTCAAAACTGAAAAGGTCAGTTTTATTGCAGGAAATTAATTCTTGTGCTAAATGAAATATTATATTCATTAACACCCTCATAACCATTGGTAATCAATCCGGTAAAATTTAGATTAAATGAAAACCGTTTGGAATTAATTCAAGCAGCAAAAGTCTCTCTATTATTTGACTCGAAAAATTAATTTGAGACAGAGCAAACGTGGGTTGATCAGGTCCACGAGAGTTCGGTCCGACATTTGTGTCCACAGATTAGGCACATACATGAGTTAAGTTACTCTGATAGCATAACCTCAATTTTCCAATCTATGAGAAAACAATTCTCATTCAAATTAACAGCTCATTTTCAACACTTAATGCATTGTGGCCAAGTGTTCTTGTAGCGGAAAATGCCCAGAATATCAACCTCTCGGGAAGCAACCGGGGTGAGCGGAAGAGTCATGTCACAGTGTCCCATTCCTACAAGGCAAACTTTGCCACCGTTTCGAGTCGCAGACAACGCCGTCGTTAGGGTCTTGTTGAACCCGGCACAATCTAGGCTTGCGTCGACCGAAAGCGTCATAGCTTTCGGGATCTTCTCCACCTCTATCTCAACATCCTAAAAGGAAATTAGCCAAAAAAAAAAAAGAACACTATAAGAATCGTGAAAAAATATAGTGACGGGTGAATCCACTTTTTTAGTTCAAATAGTATTTTCATCCTAATTACTATGTACACAATCATTATAACATTTCACTATATTTTTTCACGGGTTCTATAATTATGTTAAAGAAAATAATCAGAAAACGAGGAATAAAGAAATTTACTAATAAGGACTGAAAAGTAAATAGTTGAGCAATTAACTACCTCAATTTCGGAGGAGACTTTGACGGTACCAAATGCTCCGAGTTTCTTTGCAACTGAGAGGAGATAGTCGTCAATGTTAGCAACAACGCTCGGAGCACTGAATGATCGGGTCACCAGAAGCGCCACGAGCTCAATTGAGCCGGCTCCCATGACCAACACATTGGTTTCCAGTCCGATTTGGGCACAGGCAAGCGTACACACCAACACTTAGGGGCTCACACATTGCGCCTTCTTCCAAACTCATGTTTTCGCGCAACTTGAAACATAGATCCCCTAGATGCACATTCTGTCCAAAAAAAAAAAATTAATTAAGTAGTTAATTTTAATTTTAATTACGAAAATAAAAATTGAAGATAGAATTTAAAAATTATGTATAATTACTTGATCAGCAAGAGAGCCATGGTCCGGAGGAGTAGCAAAGAACTTTATTTTCAGGGCAAAGATTGTATCGGCCTTCTTTGCAGCGGTCGCAATGCCAGCACCCGGTTCCATCGCGACACGATCGCCTTTCGTCAAATGAGTACCATGGGATCCAGCTTCTTCTATGATTTTGCTCATTCGTGGCCAATGACCATAGGCATATTAGTAAGTATAGTACAATACGCGATACGTATCATAGTATGTATCGCAATCGTCTGCGTATTGCCGATATACATCGTACGATACATATGATACAAGATATGATTGTGTATCGTACGATACAAAAACATTGGCCAAAAATAAACTTTTTTCCGAAAAATTTGAAAGTGTTGTTTTATAATGACCAATTAAATTTCAAATTACGAGCGAATTATATTCTAATAGATGCTTTTGATTTATTTCATTCACAAACATAATCTTCCTAAATTGACGATAAAATCGATTAATAAATTATTCTAATTCAAAGAATAAAATAATTAAAAACATCATTTTATTCATAATATCATTTTTTCTAAATCAAGTATAACTAATAGCATATCGAATAAATGCAATACATGTTTATATTAATTTTCTCACTATTAAATTTGTGGCTACTGTAATAACAATTATTGTGAAAAATAATATTTATTACATGGATTTTACAACCATTATTCATGTAATTAATGAGTAATTTGTCTAACTTTCAAATAATTTTGAATTCAACTTAATCAATTTATTTTCCTATATCTGTAAAATAAAAAAATATTTAATTTATTAATTACATATGGAGTTTATGATATTTATTATTTATTTTATACATATTATTATTAAAACGTATCTTACGATACGATACACGTATAATAAATTAAGATTTCAGATACATGATTCGTATCACGATTTGATAACTATGACCATAGGTTCTTTCACGACATAGTGTCTGTAGCTACCCGCCTATAATCATGTAAAATTCAATATCATGTGATGGAAATAAGTAATTACAAATTATATACCAAGAAAAGAAAAAAGGAATAGTAGAAGAATATTAGTATACCTTGAGATAGTGAACATCACTTCCACAGATACCAACAGATTTCATCCTCGCCCTTGTTAAAGATAATTATGAAGAGTAGTTGAGAGGGATCAAATTTAGTGATAATTTTCTGATGAATAATTATGAGTGTAGTAATTTAATTTATTAGTTATCAAAAATAGTTTTTTCATCAAAAGTAGCTTTTATCCAATAATGTGCACATGCCTATAAATATGGCATATAGCTTTTATTTTGTATCACAATCAATACAATGTAGTCTTCAAATTTATTTTCGTCAAGTTTCTCTCTTGTATTTTATTTTTCTTCATATTTTAGTTTTTCTCTTGGTATCAGAGCAGGTTCTGTCCTGTTTCTGCATATCATTTATTTTCGTCTTCAAAAAATAAATCATGGTTGATTGCTTCCGCGTACTTTTTTTTGATATATTTTTTTTAAAAATAGTTTCATGATCATGTTCATTCATGAATATTTGTGCCATGTTAACTCGAAATTCATCAGAAATCACTATCTTGCCTTTTCCTATACTATTAATCATATATTTCAGTCAGATTTTCTCAAGAATGACCACTCTCCATAAATCTCGCAGATATCAAATTTCATTTGAGTCACAATTTTTTTTTCAAAAATCAACTTCAGTTGATCCATAAATTTCAGTAACGGACAAAGAGGAAAAATGTATACCTCCGAGTCAACCCACAAAATTCCCATCATGACAAACGTCTAATCTTTTCTCAAAAGAGTTTTGACTTGTCATGTAATAATCTAACAATCCAACGAAAATTTTTATTATGACAAAAGTCTAATCTTCTCTCAAAAGAAGATTTTTGACTTGTTATACACCAATCTAACAGCACAACAGGAATTTCAAGCAAGTTGGTCAAAGTATGGCAGAATTACTCAAGATTAAGAATCTCAAGAAATTTGACGCCATCAAGTCAGTGAAAGCAAACTGAGTCTCCAACTCTGACTCAGTTTGAGGGGAGATGTTAAAGATAATTATGAAGAGTAGTTGAGAGGGATCAAATTTAGTGATAATTTTCTGATGAATAATTATGAGTGTAGTAATTTAATTTATTAGTTATCAAAAATAGTTTTTATCATCAAAAGTAGCTTTTATCCAATAATGTGCACATGCCTATAAATATGGCATATAGCTTTTATTTTGTATCACAATCAATACAATGTAGTCTTCAAATTTATTTTCGTCAAGTTTTTCTCTTGTATTTTATTTTTCTTCATATTTTAGTTTTCCTCTGCCCTCACATCACGAGGACCTATATATATCGAAAACACATTGTAAATATTCTTCACATTTTAGCAATTTTTCCATTTTCTGTTTTTCTTTTCCGGGAAAAAACAAAAAGGAAACGCAAAATAATTTTGATTAAGCAGAGTAATGACTAACAAAATTGACTTACCGAGAGTAGGAAGCTTGTAAGGCAAGATCCTGAGATCATTGACTCCATAAAGCCAAGCTGCTTTGTTTTCTTCGGAAATTCCACCCTTTACCATCTTGCTTTACCAAAAAAAAAAAGAAAAGAAAAAAGAAAAAAGAAGTGATCGAAAGTGAATAGATTATAGATTATGACTAAGTACCGATATTCAAAGACCAAAGATCAGAGTGAAGAGCGAGTGTGTGTGAGGAACAAAGACCAAATGACCAAAGGCCAAAGTTAATTGGTTTAAAAAAATTTATAAGGTTAATCGTGTTACGACATAATCTAGGCCTTAACCGGCACGAAAATGCTTAAACCCCTTGAAACCCTTAAATCCCCCTAAACCCTAAACATAATAATTTTTTTTTTTTTAAACCAATTAGGCTAGGGTCTCATAAAGCCTAATTGGTTTAAAAAAATTTATAAGGTTAATTGTGTTACGGCACAAACTAGGATCTAACCGACACGGAGATGCTTCAACCCCTCAAAACCCTAAACCCTAAACAACTAGACCCTAACCGACACAGAAATGATCAAATCCCCCTAAACCCTAAACATACTAATTTTTTTTTTGGGTTTAAATTTTTTTAAACCAATTGGGCTAGGGTCTCTAGCCTAAGTAGCCTAAAATTTTTTTAAACCAATTAAGCTAGGGTCCCTAGCCTAAGTAGCCTAATTTTGGTTTAAAAAAAATTAAAAGGTTAATCATGTTTCGGCACAAAGTAGGCCGTAACCGACACGGAAATGCTTAAACGCACTTAAATCCTAAACCCTAAACCACTATACCCTAACCGACACGGAAATGGTCAAACCCCCCTAAACCCTAAACCTACTAATTTTTTTTAGTTTAAATTTTTTTAAACCAATTTGGTTAGGGTAATAGGTTTAAAAAAATTTATAAGATTAATCGTGTTACGGCACAAACTAGGCCCTAACCAATACGGAAATGCTTAAACCTCCCTAAACCCTAAACAAATAGACCCTAACCGACACGGAAATGGTCAAACCCCTCTAAACCCTAAACATACTAATTTTTTTCTTGGGTTTAAATTTTTTTAAACCAATTACCCTAGCTTAATTAGTTTAAAAAATTTTATAAGGTTAATCGTGTTACGGTACAAACTAGGCCCTAACCGACATGAAAATGCTTAAATCCCCATAAACCCTGAACCCTAAACAACTAGACCCTAACCGACACGAAAATGGTCAAAATCCCCTAAACCCTAAACATTCTAAACATACAAAGGTCGAAGATCAAGAATCGAAGACCAAAGACCAAAGACCAAAGACCAAAGACCAAAGACCAAAGAACAGAGTGAAGAGCAAGCATATGTGGGGAGCAAAAACCAAAGACTAAAAGACCGACAACCAAAGACCAAAGACCAAAAGGCAAAGACCAGAGTGAAGAGCGAGCGTGTGTGAGGAGTAGAAACCAAAGACGAAAGACCACTGAGTAAATATAAAAAACCGAAGACCAAAGGCCAGAGTGAAGAACGAGCGTGTGCGATGAGCAAAGACCAAAACCAAAGACCAAAGATCAGTAGTACAAACAAACATGGTCATTGTGTCTTTCAGGAAGATCAAGGGAAATGCATAAAAATCAAGACCTACAGTAACAAATAAAAAGACCAAACTGTTTGCACAAAACACTTAGGAGCAACAAGTAAGATCAGAGTGCCTTTTTGGAAGACCAATGTTATTTAATAAATTTTTTTTAAGTTTCAAAAAATATATTCATGAGGGATTTTGTTGGATAGATTTTATCAAGTACTATCAAAATGATATAAGACATTTGGTCTAATTTTTACGAACTATGAAATAAAATCATTTACAAATTAAAGAAAATTTCAAAACTCATAAACCCCAATAAACAGAAAAAAAAATCAAAATTCTGCACATTAAATGCACGAGTGGAAGCTTCACGCTGCGTGAAGAGCATGCAAGCTGCACTTAATGGGCATCTTATAATTTCCGGAAAAATCGTAATAATGTTTGTCATAGGGAAACTTGTGACTGGATTGAATCCTCTCTCTCTCTTTTGTTATTTATCCCTGTACTTAAATGATTGATTACTAGTTATGATTAGATTTCCAGTTAAATCTATAAATCATTGCATCATGTCAGAGCTAATCAAGTTATTTTTCTAAATACATTTTTGAGTTGCTTTTTGGGTTATGATTACTGTACGAGTGTGTGAAAAACTTTTTTTGATGAATAAAAGTTTATATATAAAAATGTTTTATATGAAAGGACAAAAATAAAATCGCCCCCACAAAGTGCAAAATCTTACCATCCCACAAAGTTCCCTCCAAATAATTTCGAAATTTAACTTTCTTGTGACCATTGTTCCGTTGATGATATAGAAATTTCTTCTCGAGTTCACCCTTCTATATATAATCGTACCACTTATAATCTAAGATAGAATGGCAAACATGACGCACCAAATTAAGTAGTCTCCAAAAGTTTTTTTTAAGAACATTGTTACATATCAAATCATATATTGTTGTACGTACCTCGAGATGTAAAAAGCTGTGCAGTTTTATAAAAATCATTTAAATTTTGATTGGTAAATCTCATGCATTATTTGTCAACTAGTCTTTTACCTGTCGCACATTGCGCGACCAGTGTTTTTATCGAATCATTTTATACCATTCTCGTTATTAAAAGTGATA